AAGTAAATGAGCTAAAACTGTAGTGGTTTAGCCACGGTTTTTAGGTTTGCTAGTCTTTTCCTGGCCTAATTCCTGCCAGTTTGAATAAGGCCTGCATCTCTACACAGTTAGGAGCAAGGAAAGAGAAAAATTAAGAGTCTGTTTCTAGTGTTTCTTGATGCCAGTTGTGCTGCTAGCCAGTCCCTAACAGGGAATCCAGTCTTTAATTGCAGAATTGTTTCATAAACAAACCTGGAAGTCTGGTGGGTAAACAGTTTAGGCAAAAGGTGCTAAAATGGTTATATATTTGTTGCAAAAAGTGTTCTGGTTTAGATGAGGCTTTTGCAGTCCACCTAGAAAGACAGTAATGGAACTTGGTTTTGAACAGTTGAACAGAAAATGTGTAGGCTTAGAAACAGCTTTAAATGAATGGGGAGTTGGGATTTGACAGGATTGCACTAAAGCTTTTTCACAACCGTTCCACATTAATTCAGTGTTCTCTGTTCTTCAGTCTAGTAAAAGTGAAGGTGCACAGAAAGAAGTTAAATATGAACCATTTTCTTTTCCTGATGGTGAGTACAGGGAAATAAATCTGTTTAAAAGTAACTTTCTATTTACTTAAGTGGACCCAGTGGTAGAAATATTTTTAGAACCCTGGTTATTTTTAACACTTTTGAAAATTAACCTTCAGAGACAGAAATTTAAGGAATGGAAAGATGAGGCAAGCTAAAATGCTCTTGAGATGGTCAAAGACATAACTGTCAACTACCTCTCAAGTTGATGATACATAGAAGACATGCACATCAGAAGACATTTGCATGTCCTAGAATTACAGCACAGAATAATAGAATGGTTTTGGTTGGAAAGGACCCTAAAGACCATCTGGTTCCAATCCCCCTGCCATGGGCAGGGACACCTTCCACTAGACCAGGTTGTTCAAAGCCCCGTCTAACCTGGCAGGTGCAATTTTGGATGCTGCCTTGTCAGTCTTTGGTGTTTGAAGGAAGTATTGGCCAAACCTGTCTGGAGAGCTTACTGCTTTAAGCTTACTGCATTTGCATTCCATCCAGGATCTGTATTTATGTCTCAGTTTCCTGAGAGGCCATCCTGGCTGAAAGTTGCTGGTTTTAGTTGACAGCGATTGAGAAACATGCTGTAAGTGGAGCTTTACACAGCTACAGTGCTGTAGTTTGGCTCATGTGTCCTTAGTCCATGTGCTGTTAAAACATAGAACAGTTCATGTAAGAAAGACTCACGTAACTTTTTTTCCTTCTCTTCCTTCAGATATCGGTTCTAATAACTGCGGCTATTACGACCTGCAGGCAGTACTAACGCATCAAGGCAGATCAAGTTCCTCTGGGCATTATGTGTCTTGGGTTAAAAGGAAACAAGGTAAAACACCTCGGCAACTTACAGCACTCTTTTAACTGCCCTTCACGCTTAACATTAAGTGTGCTTCGATTTTATGTACCTGAATTACAAATAATCCTCTCGCTTTTCTTGCAGATGAATGGATTAAATTTGATGATGACAAAGTCAGCATTGTTACACCTGAAGATATTTTGAGGTTATCCGGGGGTGGAGACTGGCATATAGCTTATGTTCTACTCTACGGGCCTCGCAGAATCGAAGTAATTGAAGACGAAGCTGACCAGTAGTCTTCAGTTTTAGCCATTCTGCCTAGGTGTGAAATAAATGTTGATTACTGATCACTTCTTTAACCCCAGAGCTTTTAGCAAGTGGATAAGTAATTTGTTCAACCCTTCTCACGTGAAGAAGGGTATGGGTTCAAAACTGCTCCAAGTACCAATTCGCCGCTGCTGGCCTGGACTGCGCTGCCCACTGGGGTGGTGACAATTTTTAAAATAGCTTTAATGTCTTGCAGAAGAGAAATTTTTTAAATAAGCCTCTTCTTTCCCCCCCCCCCCCCCCCCCAATGTCATCAAGTATTTATTACACACCTACTCTCACATTTGTTACTCTTGCATGGTTTATACCACAGTTCAGTAGCTGTCCATCCTTTGCCTTACCTGGCAGGTTTGTTAGGAAGGTAGAAGAGCAACTGTTGCCTTGTTGTGTAACTCAGTGCTGCTGCCCATAGCCAACAACCATGGCTCCAATCAAGTATTGTCCAGCCTGACCTGCTGATTCAGTCTGTTCTGTTGCTGGCACCTCATGACTTCAAAATAAATTGTGATCAACAACGTGTCCTCCATTAAAAAAGTTCATGTCCTAGTGATGCAGTTAGTACGTGTTTGTTTTCACACCTTGGGCCACCACCAGTGAATGAACGGAAGCAGCCATGTAATAATACCACTGGTTTTTAAGCTGTAGGGATTTAACTCCTGTCCTGTGACTCTCACCACTCTCTACAACTACCTGAAAAGAGGATGGATTGAGGAGGTGGCTTGTCTTTTTCCCAAGTAACAGGACAAGAGGTAACAGCCTCAGGCTGTGCCAGGGGAGGTTTAGGTGGGATATTAGGAACAATTTCTTCACAGAGAGGGTGATCAGGCATTGGAAGAGGCTGCCCAGGAAAGTGGTGGAATCACCATCCCTGAAGTGTTCAAAAACCATGTAGATGAGGCCCTCAGCGACATGGTTTAGTGGTGGACTTGGCAGTCCTGGGGTAATGGTTGGACTTGATGATCTTAAAGGTCTGTTCCAACCTAGTTGATTCTGTGGTTCTTTACTCAGTAGGTAAGTCTGGTGGCTGCAAACCTGGGCTTTGCTTACTTACAGTCACTTCTGTTCCTTCCCCACAAGAATGCAGCAGCTGGTTAGTGGGAGGCTGCAGTTAAAAAGCATTTCAGTGTTTGCCACAGCCAGAAAAGGACTTGCTTAGGCCAGCAACTGAGGATCTGATTTTTAACATGTCCCAGGCCATTCTTTTTGGGTGAGCCAGTCCATACTCACATGAAATACCTTCAGTTGTATCTTCATTAGCACCGACCGTGTGGTGAGTTCCTTGCTCAGAAAGCACCCAGCTTCTACCCTCCCTTGAGGGCCTGGCTCCAGCCACGGCTCCCAGGTAGGTTTGGTTATTGCACCACCTTCTCCACTGCACAGATGCCCAGGGAGCACAACAAAGGCTTAAGGGTGGATTTTAAAGAGGTTGCGTGATGCTTAGAAGTTGCTCCAGCCACTGAGGAAGCCCCAGTCAGGATCTCTCCCCATATGGTCTAACTTCACACGTGTTTGAGGACCAGAGCAGTGCTCACATTGTGATGAGCTCATACTTGTCAGATGATGCAGAAAAAACCCTGCACTCCCCCATGCACAAAATGACACAAGGCTGCACTGCTGCTGGAGCACAGCAAGGGGTCATAGAATGGGTTGGGCTGGAAGGGACCTTAACCATCATCCAGTTCCAACCCCCTGCCACAGGCAGGGTCACTCCACCTTCCACTAGACCAGGTTGCTCCAAGCCCTGTCCAACCTGGCCTTGAACAAGCTAAACCAGGGGGACAGCTCAGTGCCCAAGTCTCTTGCCTCGACCATGAGCACCAGCTGATGGTTCACACCCGAAGCATCAAGAATGTAACTCACTGCACGTAGCTCCCTGCAGTCACGCTCGGTCACACACAACCACGCTGTGGTCATCATCTCCAGCCTCAGCTTTCCAAGATCAAGGTGGCAGGTAGGCGATGCCCAACTGCCATTTGTCATTCCCCACACACTCAGTTCATGCTCAAGTCCCTTAATTAAAATTGTTCCATTTTGTACCTTCTACCAAATCCTACCTGCAGCAGGAGACAAGGCATAGACTCATCACAGATTTACTCCAACAGGTCCACATCCCTCTGGGGGACCCAGAGCTGAAGTCAGTACTCCAGGCGGGGTCTCACCAGAGCTCAGTGGTTTCCAACAATGTCCCATGTATCAGCCTGTACCGACTTTCACTGAAGTACCCATTAATCAAATTCTTAATACACTTCTACCCAAAGTGGGGGGAGCAAGCACAAAGCTCTTCTCAATGGCTCTGCAGGCAGGAGCTCACCTCCTAGCCAGCTAACCACCCCAGAAATTCACAGGTATCATTTAATAACTGAAACAATACTCCAGGGGTAAAAGTTCTGGGATATGTAGTTTTCCAAACACTTGGCAATTGGAGAGGTTTTACTGAATGACACAAATTCTACAAGCAGCAGCCACAAACCAAGTTGTAGCTAACTACTGCTTAACACCACAAAAATCTCCTGCTTTCTGAAAGAAAGCAGATCCAACTACGTGTAACACCTTGTACCCATCAATAGGTACCCATGTCCTCAAAATGGAACCCATATGTCACTTCACAGTGAACTAGGACAAAGAAAGTACCTTGTTCATCATGACTCAGGGGTGTTCCTACAGAGTCAAACATATCCAGAGACCAAAGTTAGTAACTGCTAATGAAAACAAGCATGGAAAACCCCCCATTATCAACTGTCAAGGCCCAGAGAGAACCAGTCCTTCACAGGGAAGCAGGCTGAGCGCACACCCCTCTGAGGGCATGAGTTCTTCACAGGAAGTGAGCACTGTGACTCGGATCTCCACCACAACAATGTTTTCCCAAGGTTGAATCACAAGCAGGTACGCTCTGATGGTCTCCCGCTTCCCACCACCCCAAACACTGGCTCACAAGTCCCATGCTCTGAGAAACTGCAGAGACAGTGGGTGGTCACAGGGAGCATCAACCCTTCCATCCAGCAGGAGTGACCTGAGCTTTGCTGATGGCACACAGAAAGCTACCCAACTCGACTCCCCCCCCCACCTTTCACCCTTCCCCCAGCCAAGATGAAGCTTCCTACTCCCACACCGTGGTGACAAACCCTTCTCTCAGAAAGTCTGCACAACTGAACAACATCATTAAAAAGTTTTATCGTTTACTGACCATAAAATGCTTGTTAAAAATCTGTTACCTACGAACAACAGGAACCATTAAACCGAAACAGTCACAACTGACGGTAACGACAGCTACCAGAAGTCACAATTAACACCCCCCAACCCAAACAGAGTGAGCAGCACCTGCAATGAGTTAGCTGCCACTCTCGGTGTCATTGCTCAGGCTTTCCGCAAGGTCACCTAACCCGGCTTTGTTCAGCGCCAGAACCAGGTTCTCGGGGGTGGCATGGGCGCCCTCCTGGTCCTGCCAGGCGACCAGCAGCTGCTTGGCTCTCATCGTCATGTCCTCACTGTCCGACTCGATCTGCCGCATGTCGGCATCCTTCATTTCCAAGTAGGGGGCCAGGACCTTCCACTGCTCCCCAAGCCTGTTCGCAACTGACTCGATCTGATCGCCTGTCATGGCTTTGTCCCGTTGCACCTCTGGACCTGGGGAAATAAAAGAGAAAGAGAATCACTGACACACAGGGAATGGCTCCAGATACTGCAGATTAATCTTCCCTGATCTGCCCTGTTTTAAACCCCTATTTATTTACTAACAGATGACTGACTGACACCTTTAACTGTTAAAACCTACTCCTGGGCCCTGAGAACAGATGGATTTTTACAGCTGTGTTACCTGGGTTTCAAAAGGAACGTCCCTTATTGCCCACAATAAAGTCTTGGGGTTTATGTTATCTCTCATTTGATTAAGAGAGAATTTCTAAAACCTTACATACATCAGAACCGCCTCCTCCAAGTGAAAATGAGGATTCTGACAGGCAGCCTGCAGTTTTCAATACATGAGTCAACTATAATATTAAAATACAGAGTGATCTTTAACATTTAATTGTCTCTCAGAGTTCTTGTAATCACTTTGCTCAGAGTTAACGAAAGTAAAAATATTTTCCTTCCCTTTCACTGAGTTACTAAACCCTCATGTTCTTATTAGCAGCAGGACTGTGACTAGGACAGCAGCCTTAATACACAGCCAGTACTGTAAGGAATTCTTTGTCATTCTCACATCAAGATAAAGCCATGAAACACTGTGCTCTGCTGAGCAGCCAAGCGCTGCAGTGATTACACAGGCAGGTTTCCACATTTATAGGTTATCAATCATCATGGTTTACAACCTGTGGTTTACCACCTATGCTTACTTCACACTTTAAAAGAAGAAGCCCTAAAGGCTGAATTACAGTTAAGTTGATTGCATTTAAGTTAATCCCAACCTGAAGAGCCAGCTGGCAACGAGTGGAAGGTTCAACTCTCTCCAGTGCCATTTATCTGAACTAAACTCACTGCACCGAGGAGAAGGAATGGAAGATCACAAACAATGAAACAACAAAAGCACTTGGCTCACTTCCCTCATTTCTAAGCACAGAGGACCACAGCTTTGCCATCTTTGCTTTAAGACAAGGCTTCAAGACAGACAAGAGTGGTGAAGCCATGGAGGTTGTGTCAGGCAACTTTAAGCTGAAGAGGTGGAAGCTTCTCCACTATTGGCAAGATGAGTGTGGAAAATGTCTGGTGCTGGATGGAAAAGGGTGACAGAACAGAGACTCACAGGGGCCCACAGGAAGCCTTCCACTCACAGAAAAAAATCTTCCAACAAAATTGCCAGTGGTGGCCAGTGTGTGGTTTCCCCGCTCTGTATGTCCCACCTGCCCACACTGGATGCAAGAGCTGGCACAGAGAGATGCAGCACTCAAGGGAGATGGTGCTGTGAGATGAAGGCAGGAGTGAGGATGGAAGGAGGTGGATTCACAGACATGGGAGACAGTGAAGGACACTGAGGAGCACAATATACCAGGTATACAGGCAAGAGACAAAATGGAAAGACTGGTTTATGGAAAGGAACAAGAGATGGCATTTGTCAGGAAGGTTGCTCTTCTCATGGAGCAGCTTTTGCCTTTAAGTTATTTTAAATGAAGAGGATGTCAAGATCTCAGTTGGAATGTATCTATTTCTGAGAGTTCCATAACCACCCATCCCAGTAGGGGCTGGAGGGAGGCTCTCATCCATGCCAATTAATGGGCAGAAAGAACAGGGAAGCAGGGTGAGGAACACTCAAGTAGGTTTTTACACAGCAATGCTGGCTTTTAGCTGTATACACCACCACGTAGCAGAAAAGGTGGAAGAGGCTCCTAATGAAAAGGCTAATCCAACTCCAACTAGTTGGATGCTTTCAGCACTGCAGGCCATGAGACCCAGAAGTTGCTATGGGTGCCCCATGTCCTGAAAAGGCTACACCTTTGTGGTACAAAGGCTGGTTAAGTCAGGAGCGATGACTGTTAAAACACAGCTTCTACAACACACAGCAAGAGAGATACTGCAAACATGGAGAACATGCAAATCTTACTTTCATTGTTTTCCTTTAATAAAGCATCATTATCTTCCTCATCTTCATCCTCGCCTGTTTTTATTTCTTCAGAAGGAGGCTACAATGAGAGAACTAAACATCACTGGATGA